CACCATCTGCTCCTCAGAAGAAAGATGAGGCAATCCACTTCTGTAAAGATTTGTTGTTGCTGTTATGTTCAGTGAAGTCGGTTCCGACTCATAGCAACCCCGTACTGGGTTTCCGAGGCTGTAAATCTTTACGGGCGCAGAAAGCCTCCTCTTTCTCCCATGGAACAGCTGGAAGTTTGGAACTGCTGACCCTGAGGTTAGCAGCCCAATTTGTAACCACTACGCTACCAGAGCTCCTTTCTGTAAAGATTTTTGTTGTTGTTGTTAAGTGCCATTGAGTTGGTACCGACCCATAGCGACCTTATGCACAGCAGAACGAAACACTGCCCAATCCTGGGCCAACCTCACTACTGTTGCCACGCTTCAGTCCATCGATGGACTAATCCATCTCCTTGGGGGTCTTCCTCTTTTTCTCTGACCCTCTACCTTACCAAACATGATATCCTTCTTCAGCGATTGGTCCCTCCTGACAATATGTCCGAAGTGTTAAGAGACGAAGTTTGGCCATCTTGGCCACCAATGAGCACTCTGGCTGCACTTCTTCCAAAACAGATCTATTGGTTCTTTTGGCAGCCCATGGCACTTTCAACCTTCTCCTCCAACATCCTAACTCAAAAGCATCAATTCTTCTACGGTCTTCCTTATTCACTGTGCAGCTCTTGCATGCATATGAGGTTCTTGAAAATACCATGGCTTGGGTCAGGCACACCTTAGTTCTCAAGCTGACATCTTTGTTCTTCAACACTTTAAAAAGGTTTTGTGCAGCAGATTTGCCTAATGCAAAAATGTAAAGATTTACAGCCTTGGAAATTCTACCAATGACTAAATAAATAGTATTAAATAAATTTGGAGTTCTGGGGTTGAACTGTGGGTTAACCCGCTGAACGGTAAGGTTAGTTTAAACTGCAAAGTCGGCAGTTCAAGCTCACCAGCTGCTCCTCAGAAATCCTATACAGACAGGGTCGCTATGAGTCTGATGTGACTCAACAGCACTTAACAACAATTACATAAATTTATACTATTGCTTCATGAGAATAAAGTTATTACAGGTAACCCCGATACAATTAGTTTCACATAATACATGGCAGTTATAAAACAAAAAGAACAATCAGCAGTCATTTTACCTAGAGGATAAGTAAAATAGTATGGATCAGGAGACAGTTTAATAGGCAAAGAGGCACAAGAACACTGTAACTGTGATTTGTAACCTCAAACCAAAGGTTGACTTTCCTGTTTGTAAATAAAGTTCGGAGTAGATGGTTCATGTACACCTACACATATAACAGCAATCTTCATCTAAAGCGTCTATAAAGAATCAGAAACACTTAACTCCCAGAGATAAAAGGAATTTGCCCTTGACATCAAGCAAAATTATTTAAAAACCAAAACTGACTTAAGAAAAATGATTATAACAAAAATTCATACCATAACCCACTGATTTTAACTCTAAAGCATAAAATCACTGTTCCCCTCCAAGAAACTCCCAGGCCCAGAGGCCACCCCTAGCCTCTCAGTCTTGTCCTTCACACAAAATGCCCATGTAATAAATAAAGTTCTAATCAAACTTTCAGTGTTGCTTCCTCCCATCTATCTAGCTTTACAGGACACACCAATGTTCCCCATATCTACCCTGAGCCTACCATTTTGTTCATCATCATATCTCTGCCCTAGGAGAGCTTGTCAGTTCATTTTTCAGGCCTTGTTATCTTTTCCAGCATTTCCTGATCTCACAACCACATGTCTTTGCGTGCTTTTCTCTTTTCCGGTCTTATCAGAATTATTTTATTCTTTCTTGAATTGTTACTATTTTTTACCTCCCACACACATACCACATTTTAAATTTCTTAAATGATAATGAACTCACATTGATGGCATATACAGAGTGAAAATTAAGTAAATAATTTAGGTTCCTGAAATAGTGGCATAAAACAGACTGAAAGCTCGCAAAAGAATATACGACAAGTTAATTTTAAGCCTGAAAATTCACTATTTACCAGTGACAAAATTCATATATGTTGTGGTTAAGTGCTGAAATCAGTTCCACCTCATAGAGACCCTATACAGGGTTTCCAAGGAGCAGCTGGTGAGTTTGAACCACTGACCTTGCCATTCAAACCAACATTCGGGTCCAGTGCTTATTTCACAGCACTATACCAGGATTCCAAAATTCATATTTGTTGTTGTTAAGTGCCACTGACTTGGTTCCAACTCATAACAGCCCTACACAGGGTTTCCAAGGAGCTGCAGGTGAGCTTGAACCGCAGACCTTGCAGTTCAAACTGACCTTGCAATCCAGCACATTAACCCGCAGCACCACACCAGGACTCCAAAATTCATATACGCTCCTCCTTTAATATGAAATAAAAGTGAGACTCATTCATAAGAGAAGACAGTAAGACTGATCTAGAAATTGTAGATCCTATTTTTAGTTCTTTGGGCAGATCTCAGCTCTACCTTAATTCTCTGTAAGTACCTACTTTACCAGAGTTATATGAGAATCTTTGATAATAAATATTCATAACATATTTCAGGGGTTATTCATTGGGCTGCTAACCACAAGGTCAGCAGTTCGAATCTATCAGCCACTTCGAGGAAGAAAAATAAGGCTTTCTACTCCCATAAATATTTACAGCCTCGGAAACCCTACACAACCACCACATCACCTTTTTCAACATATTTCAGAACACTCTCTTTAAAAATAGATTGGCTTGAGTATTGTTATCCTTTTCCACATTTTTAATTAGCAATGGGACTTCTAGTGTGGCACTGTGGGATAAGCACTGGACTGAGAACCACAAGGTCAGCGGTTCAAATCTACCAGTCGCTCCTTAGAAACCCCATAGAGTCCCTATGAGTCAGAAGAAACTAGATGACACTTAGAATTAGCAATGATTTCCTGATTCATAGAACATCTTACAAAATACAAAGAGTTTATTTTCAGGTTTTTAGAAACAAAACTTCTCTTTCCATACTATCACAGATTTCTTTTAGGCCCTGAAACTGTGATCTCTGATCACTGTATATTCCTTGTTGTTGCTGTTGTTAGGTGCCATCGAGTTGGTACCGACCCATAGTGACCTTATGCACAGCAGAACAAAACACTGCCCGATCCTGGCCAACCTCACTACTGTTGGCATGCTTGAGTCCATTGATGCTGCCAATTGGCCAATCCATTTCGTCAAGGGTATTCCTCTTTTTCTCTGACCCTCCACCTTACCAAACATGATATCCTTCTCCAGTGACTGGTCCCTCCTGACAATTTGTCCGAAGTATGAGAGACAAAGTTTGGTCATCTTGGCCTCACAGGGGTTTAATAATCTAGAAAAAAAGTATATACTGTGCGCTTCTGAGGGATGGTTTGTAACAGATTTCATTAACCAAAAAGCAACTCAGACTATGATCGCTCTGGGAGTTACGGGGAGGCACAGAAAGAGTACTAGAACAAAACAAAAAAAGTCTTAAACACAAGCTTAAACCCAGAGAATTATTTCTTAATCAGTGCACAGGCCAAAGATTTTACAAAATGTCATGCTTTTCTGGGCTCTCTAAGTTTCAGTTTCTTCTCTGTAAATATGCTTTACTCTCCTCAGTATGCTAACTCATCTCCTTTCACCTTCATGTTCACATCACAACTCATAGGACGCTTCTTTTCATCTTAGGAAGTCCTTACCCCTCCTAATACAAATCCCAGATGTTGCTGTTAACTGGCGTGGAGTAGGTTCCAACTCATAGTGACCCTGTATAGGGTTTCTAAGGAGTCGCTGATGGGTTTTCAAACACTGACCTTGTGGTTAGCAGTCCAATGCTTATTTTACAGCTCCCAAATATAGCATGGAAATCCCTTTCTACCAAAAATTGTTGTTGTTGTCAGGTGCCATTGAGTCGGAACCGACTCATAGCGACCCCATGCACAGCAGAAGGAAACAATGTCCAAATCCTGGACCAACCTTAATACTGCCGCCACACTTGACGCCATCAATGATGCCACCTGGCCGATCCACTGTAAATTTAGAAATTTATAAGCAATGCAAGGGAATGAAAAGCTTAGTTTAGAAACGTTTGGTACACACTTCCGATATATTATTGAGAACCAAGAATCTTGACCTTCTGCATCTTTAAGCCAATAAATATGACAAGTAAATTTTCATTTGTAAATTCACTGGCAAGAAATTTTAAACATAGCTGGGAGATGTAACCATTTAAAAAATAACAACAACTCAGTTCCAAAGCATAGTAACCCAAGCACACATCTAACTGCAACCACAATGCCCTAGTAGTGTATTTCAACTGCAATCATAAAACAACCCAGTAAGTTAAGTTGGATGACCTAATGGACAAGTTCTTCCCTTCCCTCTCCTGCTGTCACGTCATCTACCTGTTGCATCACCTGGAAAGTGGTCTTCAGAATCTAGAAAAAGAGCACCACCAGAGTCTCTAAATAATTCGGTAGGGCTATTTTCTAGATAAATTTTAATGAGGCAAGAGTGTGTTCGTTCCTCATCACCTTTAGAGATTCTAGAATAGAACTGACATCAATGACTTTCTGGACTTAAGGGGCTTGGGAGTTTTTGAAGATGGAGGCCTGGAAAGAAATGAGCAGTTCAGCAGGGAGAGCAGGCAGTCCAGGCCAGGGCAAGTAGGACAGCCCCGGGTCCAGGCAGTGGGGGTTGGGAGCGCGACCGAAGCTTTGCCCAAAGGGCACCGCTCATCCTCCAAGGAGTAAGGCCCAGCGCCAGGGTCCTGGCTATGCTCAAGGCACAGCAGAGGTTCAACCGACCCGATCCTTGGCCAACCCCTCCAGCTAACTGGGTAGCACTCACAGGAGCGCCAACGGGTGTGAGGATTAAAGAACAATCTTACTCCCCCTCCCCCCTCCCGTACGCATGGAGAACTAAACTGGAGGCGGGGACGCCAGGCAGGAAGAGCTTGGGGTCGAGTCCGAGTCCCACCGGTGGGAGGTTGCCGGCCTGGGCCGGGGGCCGCCAGAAGATTGCACTCACCATATCGTACACGTTGAGCACCACCAACTGGTTAGCCCCCATCCTCCTCCCCGCGGCCGCCGCCTCGTCCTTAAGCTCCGTCTCCCTGGGGCCGGAGGCCGCTCCCAGCCCCGCCGGTGCTTCAAGGGGCCCGAGCCCGGCACTAAGCTTAGAGCCCGGCCCGCGGCAGCCCAGGTGAGAGCATCTGGCAGCCGGGCCGCTCCGGAGGGCCGCCAACAGCACCCTCAGGGCGGACGCGGCCGGACCGGTGGCGGTCCGCACCGGCTCAAGCACCTCCCCTCGGCAGCAGACACGTGGGAAAGGCGGAGCTTGAATAAGGGGCGGGCGCCGGGCGCCCCGGGGGCGGAGCCTGCCCGGCGCGGAGCTGATCCGCCTGCGCTCTGATACTTGGCCGCCGCTCCTTAGGACTTAAAATGGCGGTATGACCGTCGCCTCTCCACCCTGGAGGAGCAGGGTCGCAGAAAGACAACAGTTCCTCTTAGTACGGATTTCCCGGATCGCTGTTTGATGCGCAGAAGCGGAGTCTCAACAACTGTCCTCAATCGCTGCATTTTCTCACCCTTCGACCACACTCCCAGCGTATTGCGCCTGTTCCGGATCCTGACAGACCAGACCTCTCAGGGAAACTCCAGCTCCCAGAATGCAATGCTGTGGATCTGCCTCTGGATCCATTGCAACCTGCCCTTGGCTCCTCCGACCTTGCATCTCCACTGTTGCTTCTGCTGATACTGTTGAGCGCAATGAAGCCAGTTTGGCAACAGACTATAGTAATGACCCTAAAATTTCCAAATCCCATCCTCATTGAGTTTTGCAGGAGGAAAATGGGAAATTAGAGCTAGGAAGATTACAGGTAAGAAGTTGGGGTGTGACACGCACATCATATTAATTCTCAGTATGGGATTTTACATTCTATTAAACAATCCTGCTGAAATAGAAAGACAGTTCAGCACTTTCCGATTAGAACAACTCTAGAACACAGAAGGAGCTCTGGTAGCTAATCAGGCTGCAAGCCGCAAGTTCAGCAGTTCGAAACCACCTGCTGTTCCGCGGTAGAAAGATGAGATTTTCTGCTCCTGTAAAGATTCACCTCGTAAACCCTGCACGGGGTCGCTATGAGTCGGGATCGACTCCATGGCACATAACCACCACCACCAGAACACAGTAAGTACTTTTGCATTCTTTCAACAAGTACCTGTTATATGCCTACTATATGCGAGGCGGTGTTGTACGGCCTGAGGATACAATGATAAACAACAGAAGGTGAACAAACAAGATAATAGATACATGTGCTTTGGTGAAAATTAAAATAAGGTCAAGTTATTAAGAGTAATTTTAGACTGACAGCATGAGGTAGGTATCTGTTATGAGGTGAGATTTAAACTGAGACATAAATAACAAAAAAAATTAGACCTGCACATTTATTCTAGTCAAAAAGGACAGCAAGTACAAAATTTCTCAGGAAGGAAGGCCGGGGATTGCTGTATTCAATGAAACAATAGACCTCTGTAGCTGGAGCATAATGGGCGGGGGAGAAATGCTATTAGAGGAGCAGAGCAGATGGGCAGAAGCCAAAATATGAAAACCCTTCAAAGTCATGAATTCTTAGGTGCCCTGGAGTCAGTTCTAATTTGTGGTGACCTATGTGGCTCTGTAGGATAAAGCACTGGACCATAAGGCCTGTTTGAACTACAAAGTAGAGGATTCAAACTCACCAGTCTCTCCTTGGAAACACAATACAGGGTTGCTATGAGTCTGAAACAACTTGACTGGCACTTAACAACAACAAATTACAACAGAACAAACGATGCCTGGTCCTGTACCATCCTCATCGGATGGTTATCGTTGACCCCATTGTGGTAGTCACTGAGTCAATCCATCTCCTTGAGGGTCTTTTTCAGTGAGCCTTTCCTTTACTAAGCATGATGCCTTCTCCAGGAACTGGTACCTCCTGATGACATTCCCAAAGTACATGAAATGAAGTCTCTCCATCCTTGCATCTAAGAAGCATTCTGGCTGTACTTCTAATACAGACTTGTTATTTTAGCAGTTCATGGTATATTCAATATTCTTTGCCAATACCATAATTTAAGTGTATTAATTTTTCTCTGGTCTTCCTTACTCATTGGTCACAACTTGACCAATAAATAACATCATGACAAATGGAGAAAAGATTGAAGTTGTCCAAGACTTCATTTTGCTTGGATCCACTATTAACACTCAAATATGTTGCAGACCGTGCAGAGGTT